GCTGCAGGTGTCTGCTATACAGGCGCCCCGGGAGGGGACGCCCAGCGGCTCCGGCTCATCTGCCCGGAGCAGCCAGCCAGGGCCGCAGGTGGAGGTCCCAGGCTGCTGGGGAAGCCGCCAGAGGAGGGGACCGGCCGTTATTTATGGGCGCCACTTGACGGAGAAGGCAGAGCGAGAGGCTTTGGGCTTCTGCCCCGCCCTGACCCATTTCCAAGGCGAAGATGAGACGTGAGCGCCCAGCCTGGGGAAGCCGTGTCGGGCCCCTTGGAGCCCCAGGTGCCAGGACTTCGCTCGAACTAAATAGCCAAGGAAGTTGCTAGAGTTGGCCAGGCTACCGCAACGGCTGTGCCCTCCGCGGGTCACTCCTGTGCCTCGCCCTCCCCACCCTGGCAAGCCAAGGACTCACCCTCAAGCTGGGCTCTGAAACAAGACTTCAGAGATGGACGGGCACACACGTACACACACCCTGTGAATGGGCTTTCCTTCCCAGGTTGGACCCCCAAAAAGATTTCACGTGGCCCAAACACTGAAAAAGAAAACAGCACATACACAGAATACTGCCATGATAATAAGACAATAAACAAACACCTGAGGCGTTCGCTGGCTCTCAGGTGTGTCTGATGGGACAGCTGAAGGTTCTAGAGGCTGCCTGAGTTCAGTTGGTTCCTCAGGATGTCTCACCTGTTCCTGGTTGCGGGACCACCTCACTGCTGCTGTCGGTATCTGTGGTGGATTGAGTGACTTTCTGACAGTAACCAAGAAGGTGGACCAGGCATGGTGAAAAGAAAGATGATTGTGTGTCTGGAAAGAGTGGAGAAAGGAGTAAGGGGAGAGACTGGACCCTTACAAGACGGAAGTCCCGTCTTAAAAACGCCCCATTCACGACTGTGTGTCTGGAATACATCCCCTTCCCACGGGTGTTTCTAATTCTTCACCCTGATCCGGTCCTCGGCACTCTGCACACTGACCCACCTTGTCCCACCACAGCTGTTTTGATCATTTCACCAGTAACTTCTCTGCCCCCCCAAAGGACGGTCCACAGGCTTCGTCTGGCCTGAAGTCGCAGTGACAGACTCACCATTCATTTCCGTGCCCGACACAGAATCTTACATATCATCTTCTCACTTCCATCTCTTTTCCAAGGCCCACATTTAGTAAGTTGGAAATACTAGCAATTCTCTCTCCAAACTCTTGCTCCAATTTGCCCAGCCACCTCCACCCAGCTTGGGCCTTCAGGGTCTCTCAGCTGTTCAGCTTCTGCCGTTCTCCCTGACTAATCTCTGTAACTGCATTCTTCTCCACACGACAGCCCAGCTGGCCTTCCCGAGTGGGAAAGCTGACCCCACTACTCCCTGCTTGAAGTTCTTCGATGGCTATTTCCTGATTATTCTACCTTCCTGCTGGGGACAGAATGCAAACACTACTTCTGACCTACAGCCGCATCCTCATTTCTACCTTGTGAATGTGCTACTGTAGTTCACACATTATAAGGAATGCAGAGACATGTGCATTTGAAAAGCATGAGATTAAAAAAAAATACAGACGATAATTCTATGATCTTATTCCTGTGTCCCAGCAGAGGTTGTCCACCCTGGGAATGACTGGTCTCTATGTCAAACTCCTTCACACCACAGATGAGCTTCCCTGCATTGGTGGAGGTTGTTCACCTGCATCTTCATTGTCTCTACTCCCTCACGTGTCATAGGGATCACACCTTGTCTCTGTTTCACTGTGATCTCAGCCTTTGCTTTCCATCCCTGCTAGGCTGTGAGCTCCACAATAAAGGATCTTCATCTACTGTCTATCGTGGTTCCCAGCACAGCATAGGCACTCAGAAAATGTGTGTTGTATGAATGCACATAGTCCATCTCTAGGGCAGCCATGCTTTCTACAAAAAGGAAGCTGGTCCACAGAAAATAAAAAGAATGAAGGCTCCATGAAGGTGAAGGGGCTACCTAGGCACCCTTTCAGATCATAGAGTGCTAGCTGGGAGACAAGTTTGGCTGCTGTGTGAAAGAGATTTTAGGAATATCAGATAGAATTCTATCTCTCACAAAAATGAAATAGAACTGGGTAGAAATCTGAGGCTTGGCATGGGCTCTAATGACATAGGAGTACACAAGGTTCTTCCGTGGAATACTTACCTTCCTCAGTATGGAACTTTGAACTCATGATTCAGAAATGGCTGCTCCAGTTTCTCCCATTGCCTCTGCCTTGGATCCAGTGAAGAGAGAGAGAAACACAGGACATGAAATAATGTCATTCTTCTTTGCAGGTTGAGCCCCAGTGACAAACCTCACCTCTATCCACAGCTCAGTAGTTAGAAGTCAGTGTCACAAGCTTTCTGAGCCATGGGAAAGTTAGCTAACCAGCTCATTTCTGCTCTTGGATTCTAGATCTGCGTGTCCTGTGTCCTCAGTCCCTTTTAATGTTGAAATTCAAATCAGTGCCAGTTCCTTGAAATCAAGAGATCTTGAACTAGGGCACGAACATTCTGAGTGACCACACACAGAATATGATGTGCACTGACCCGGGTATACCAGGCCAGCCAAAGCTGCGGAACCAACCCCAAATCTCAGTGGCTTCACACAACCAAGGTTCACTTCCTGTCTATGGTCCCTTGAGATCCCTGGCTCACAGGCTTTGCCTCAAGCTGGGTTCTCACCACCATTACAACCGTGTGTGTGTGTGTGTGTGTGTGTGTGTGTGTGTGTGTGTGTGGTGCTGGGGAAGGAACCCAGGGACTTGTGCATACCAGGCAAGTGCTTGACCACTGAGCTACACCCTCACCTGACCTCCAGAAAGTGCACCTTCCTTACCTGCCCAATGGAAGCAGGGAGGTGCCGCCCATATTTTGGGGACCTCTAAAGCCAAAGACAACAGAAAAACACCTTGTCTGAATTCAAGGCAGAGAAATAAAGTGGATGGTGCACGTGCTGCTCCACTGCTGTGTAGGATGCCCGTATCACCTCCAGGTGCCTCTGCCCATGCTCCCAGCTCCCTTTTGGGTTTTTACACAGCGTGAGCATTCAGGTGTGCTAGGCACTGAACTTCTGAAAAAGACACCAAGGATCAGGAACACAGGTGGACGCAGAGTGGGCTTTTGCCATGAGGTGAATACAGGGAGCAGGTTTCTGAAGCTGGCAAAAGGTCAATGAACTGAAGTCCAAGGGACATGAGAAAATCCCCGGCTACCCCTGAAATGCTTTCCAACACAGGAAGGCCACAAATGCCACATCTAAGAAAATGCATTCCTTGATTTATGGCACCGCCTCTGAGGGCACTGATGAAGTGAGGCTGAGATTGGATGCCATGTGCTCCTCCATACCTTCGTGGGCAGATGTTTTCCTTGATGGCCTCTAGCTGAGATCAACGGCCCTGAAGTAATCGGCTTTTGGCGAGGGCAGAAAGGATAATTCGGAGCGCTGGACAGTGTTTGAGGACGTAGGTTCTGGAGGGTATCCATGTGGTGGTCACGAGGCCACTCACGCGGGGCCTGGCCTGGCACGGGCTCAGGTGCAGAGGCACATGGAAAGGCGGCGGCCTGGGCTTTGCCTGAAATTGACTGGCAGTCACTGCCCTGACCCAGGAAATCCATGGGCTGCTGCACACTGGGCTTTGGGAAATGCGTCCAGTTCTCCAGGAACACAAGCCCACCCCTCTCCTGGGGCCACGCTTCCTCACAACTTGCTGAGTTCAACATCGTGCCTTCCCTCCCTGCCCTTCTCCTTTCCTTCATACATTTCCTAGAGATGTTGCCAGGGCCTTGCCCACACGAGCATGTGCTCCACAACTCAACTCAGCCTCTTTCCCTCTATGAAGCCTTCCCTGTCCCTCTGTGCCTTCCTATACTGACTATAACTCACTGCTCCTGTCTTACTATCCCCAAAATGTGTTGACACAGAAACTTTATCTTATTCTTCCCTGCATCCTTCACATTTAATATAGTTACTTGTACATGGCTGGTGTTCACAACCAGCAATTTAAAAGCAATGTGACAAATCAGTTCAGGCTTAAAACAGGGTGCTTTTTATATGTTCTTATTATTCCTGGATTGCTTCTCACTTCAAAAGGAGACATTCAGTTTATGTGATTGTTTGGCATTCTATGGTACTAAGAAAGGCTCCAGAGTAAACAAGGGCATAGGAAAAAATGTTAGAACTTTTGTTATATTTTTACTTGTCTTCTTTTGTGCATGTTTAAAAATGTTCCCCCAAACAAAAATAAGAAAAATGTATCCAAAGTTTAGTGTAGTCATATTTGTAGCCATTTAAAATGTATAAATATACATGTATTTATGAGTGCATACTCAACGTGGCAATCTTAAGGTGCGATAAGTAATTTCCATCCCCACAATGTACAGAAATTTCCTTCCTTTTTTATAACATTCTAAGCTTTAACTAGAAATATGGTAACGCAGCTCAAGACTAGGTCTGTCTGCTTCCCTTGCTGACAAATGTAGACTGATTGAATGTGATCATTCATGAGGTATATAACCACTAGGTGTGGTTCTGTTCTCGTTTTGTTTTGTTTGAGACGAGGTCTCATTTTGCTGTTCAGTCTGGCCTCGAACTCACTATGCAGCCCAGAATGGCCTGTAACTCATGGCAATCTTCCTGCCTCAGGCCCCTGAGTGCTGGAATAATAGGCACACGCTACCAGGCCCAACTAGGTACAATTCTTAAAAGGAAAACAGTGTGTTCTTTCCTTCTTGATGTATGGGATGCAGGTACAAGGGTAGGAGCAGGAGCCACCATCTTGGATTCAGGGGAAAAGCCATGTTGCAGAAGACAGAGAAATAAATTACAAGGAAGTTGGACCACTAACCCTTTTATCCACCATAGAAACTTTAGATTTGCTCTGCTCCGACTATTACACGAGAGACACAAATATTATAGATACTCAACTTACAATGGGATTACATCCTGGTAAATGCTATAAATTGAGATTTGTTATTAAATTGAAGATGCATTTAATATACCTAAGCTACCGAACACTGTAGCTTAGCCCAGCCCACCCTTAGTATGCTCGGAATACTTACACTATCCCACAGTTGGACAAAATCATTGAATACAAATTCTACTTTATAGTAAATCATTGAATATTCCATGGGCAAACAGATGGGCATTTTACACATGTGTCAGGATACAAAAACACAAAACATGATCTCCAAAACAGCTGAGAACACAGTACGCTGTAGAGTACCAGTGTCTGCCCTCCTGGTTTTTGGCTGGCTGGGTTCTGAGAAGACCACACTGCAACAATGTATTGCACCTGATCAGCATTCAAAGAAAGATCACAATTTAACATGCAGTTTCTACTGAATGTGAACTGCTTTTGTACTACCCTAAAGTTAGAAAATCTTAAGCAGAACTTCTCAAAGTCAAAGACTATTGGAATTTTAATCGCTCTTATCTTTAGATAGTTCTTCCAGAAATTAAAACTTTACCCAAAATCACACATGCTGTGCAATCAAAAGTTTGGGGACAAAACTAACTTTTAAAATGGTTCCTTTAGGCAATCAGAGACCGAGGCGAAACATATTAATGAGACCCTACAGTTCCCTGGATGCCTGTGCTGTCATTTCTCATTCATCCCCTTTTCTTCTTCTTTTGTTTTGTATTCTGGATTTTACAGGGAGTTTTGAAAATGTACCAATGAACCACTGAGAGTAGTGAAAAGATAGGAACTGACATTCACTGAATACCTCCTGTATGTCACATACCTTACACTTCTAATTTCATTGACTTTTCTCAACAGTCCTAAAGATGGATATTATTATTTCTTTCTATTGCTATAGACAGGGAAATTTCAGCTCAGCAAAACGAAATAACTTACCCAGGAACAAAGACTATCAGGAGAGCAGCAGGTACTTCCTGTGAGTTCAGATTTGTGTCAGTCAAGGGTCTGTTTCCTCAGCCTCTCTTGGTCATGTGTGTTTCTGACCTTTTAAACACTTCCTCTTACCTCTTCTTTCTTCTTTTACCTTACTTTCATGTCTTCTTTTCTTGCTTTTTAACCCATAAAGCCAAACTTGTATACTGAATAATTATCTGGAGCAGTATTTCTTTTTTTTTTAAGAAAATGGTAATTTTACTGGAACAAAGAAAAATCAAAAGGTGAGAATTTTGTCTTAAGCTTCATTTGTAATATAGGTATGTACTTATTTACATGTATATTACTATGTACACATAACATATATGTATATACATATGGTATATGTGCTTAACTATAACATTTCCACCCTTTTATCTTTGGCCTTTTCTTTATTTTGAGTCAGTCTCACTGTAGCTCAGGCTGACCTCAAACTTGTGGCAGTTCTCCTGCCTCAGCCTCCTGAGTTCTGGGATTATAGGCATGTGCCAAGATGCCTGGCTTCTACCCTTTTCATAAAATAAAAACAAAACAGTGACCAATAAAATCTTTCTTGGGCCCTCATGTCACAGCAATTGTTATTATAAAATTAATAAATAATTATAAAGTTAGAATCAGCTGTTTACACGTGTTGCTCTGATGTAACTGTAACCCCCCCAAAATCAATTAAAAGTTTACAAATCAATAAAATTTGAATTGCCATGTGTGACGTGACAGATGAGACTTTGTTACAGCAATATGTGCCACTTACAGATGACACGAATCGATTCCAGACTTTAAGGTCACCTTGCACCGTGTGACAGTTCTGTCCTCCCCAGCCCCTGTTTTGTTGCCGTGTTGTTGTGCGGTTACTTGGCTTTTTTTTTTTTTTAGAGCAGGGTTTCTTTTTCATTCATGTTGGTTTAAAATGGCTAATCAGGATAAAAAATAAACAGGCCTCTGTCTTCCCTGTGTGGGGGCTGGAACCCAGTGTCGCCTCTACCATACCAAGTAGACAGCAGGAGGGGCCCAGGCCTTACTCGGTATTTTTTGGCAAGCACAATATCAATGTGTTTTCTTCTGCCTGGTTTAGCTCTGTCTGGCTGGCGCTACCACAATCGTAAGCAAAATGTATGATGTGTACTCAAAAAGAACAACGGATGTTTCCGTTTTTAAAAGTTATTACAATAAAAGACAGACAGGGCTGGGGATGTAGCTCAGTAGTTCCGCTGCCTGCCACGAAAGCGTAAGGACCTGAGTTCGATCCCAGGTACCAAAAACAAAACAAAACAATACAATAAAAGACACATTGCCACAACCCCCCTCAAAACAAAACGCCACCCTCCTCCCCCACACACTCATCCCCCCTCTCCCCACTGTCTGGAGCAGCTCTGGAGCTCCTCTCTCACCAGTGTCGTTAGTTGCATTGTTGTGGCTGCCTCCCGTGATGTCCAGCATTGACTCAAATAGTTCATCTTTCCGTCATTCTGACTTTGGGTAAAGGTCAAGAGGAACTCCGAGTCAGGTCCAGTGAATAAGGTGGGCAAGGCCTCACCACCCTGATTCTATTGGACAGAAATGGCTGTAAATGTTTTGAGTCCATTCAAGACACCCAGGCAGCCACAGGAGGACTTCCAGGATTGCTTTAAAAAGCAGCAAGAACAATGGGACAAGCGTGTTCAAAGCCAGAGGCAGTGCTGAGAGGGGGATTCTTGGCAATGTGTCTTTTACTGCGACAGTTTGTTTTTATTTGTAATCTAAACATTCACCATAGTCTTGGGTTGCATTGCTAACACTCAGATTCAAGTCCCAGCTTTAAGGTATCAGCTAGATGGCCCAGAATATGCATGCGCTTTCATGTTGCTGTTCTTAAAGATGATCATCTAAACCGTGTGGCAACACTGAAACGCCATGCTCATGAGGTTGCGGAGCCTTAGCTGAAGAAATGTGGGCCCAGAGCATTCAAGGCCCACAGGAATGCCAGGTCCCCAGCAGGAGAAACAACCCCAGGGGTGTAGCCACTCTTCCAAGGCAGGCAGCTTTGCAGAGAGGAAGCCGGAAACTTGCAGGAAAGAGGCCAGCTCCACCTACCACAGCTGTTTCCTGCAGGGCCAGACTTCACATGGTGACTTCTACAGCTCCCTCTTCAGAGCCAGGGCATTGACAAACAGCCACAAATAGCTTAACCCTGCCTGCTCCCGAGTCACAGGAACAGCCGAACAGCGCTCTGTGTTCAGTGCCAGTGGTAAGTCAAGCTCAGTACTGGTCGAGGTCCTTGTTGGTCATTGTCCACTGCAGATCTAGAAAGCTGGCTAGGGTATGCAGTGACAAGAGGGACTCCTGCCTCATTAAGAGTCCCTGCTCCCCAGCAGTGATGGGCATTCACCCCCTCCATCATCTGCTCAGCACCTATCATGACAAAATAGCCAAGTGAGCAACTCTCATAATGTGCCCAATGCTATTTATATGCTTTATATTTGTTAACTCACTCGATGCTCAAAATAACCAAATGAAATTTTACTGTCTCTTTATGCAGGAGCAGAGGCAATGTGCGGGGACAAAACCGGAGCCACGGCTAGGGACACGCAGGGTGCTTACATCTCAGAAAGCCCAAGCATAAAGGCTGGAGACACAGCTCAGTGGTAGAGCACTCACCCACTGTCTAGGAAGGAAGGAAAAGAAAAGGGGGAGAGAAAGAAAAGAAGGGGAGAGAGAAAAGAAATGAAGGAAGAGGAAGACAGAAAGGGCATGAAAGGAAGGAAAAGGGGAAGAGAGGGGAGGAGGAAGAAAAGGAGAAAAGAAAAGAAAGGGAGCGTGAAAATGGAAGGAAAGAAAGGAGGAAGGTAGGAAGAAAAGGAAGAAGAAAGAAAAAAGAATGAGAAAAGCAAGGACATAAAGAAGGAAGGGAGAAAGAAAGAAAACAGAAGGAAGGAAGGAAAGAAAGAAACTAAAAGAAAGGAAGGAAGCCCAAGCATGAAAACATCCCCCCATGAAAACTTCCGAAGACACTGATTTTCTTAACGCCGCACATTTCCATGCTCGAACCAAGGGCCGTCTAGTACACACGCCAAGCACAGGTCAACCCAGCTGAGAAAACGGGTTTCTCTTTATCCTAAGATAAATTTTTCAGGGAACTTCAGCAATAATAATGCCACAATACCCCAACATCTTCAGGGCCACAGATATGAACGTAAGGTACCAGGAATAGAGAAAAAATTCTGAGGGAAGAAAGATGCCCAGTAGGAAAGGAGTACAGTCAGACCACAGAACACAAAGTTGTTCTAAGAGATGCAGACAGTGAGAACGGAACTTGGAGTTCCCAGATGGCGTGGTGCTAAGGGAACATGAAAGTGTCCAACGGGAAAACGGTATGACGACTTCCTGTCAGCATCACAGCCTGTCAGTAAGACACGAAGAAACTATGAGGAAACTCCATCAAGCGAAAAGCGCGAGATTCTGAGCTACACAGACATGCAAGGAAATACACGAGAAGGTTAGCATCACCTGTACGTTGTGGAACTGCCCACAACACAGAAAATGTAGTTTTCATGAGTATTTAGTAATTTTAAATTCTCTGTACACTGTTGAAGCCCTGTGTTCACTATTGATGTCATGTGAGGAATAATTTTTCATCCACAGCTGTCCCATTTGAACTGCAGGTTATGTGGGACTCGGTTACAGAAGGGAATCACCCTGCCAGCCTACCCAAGGGTACTTGCAAGATTTTGAAGATACACAAAGCTGGATTTAGCTCAGCGGTACCATGCCTGCCTCATAAGTGCAAGGTCCTGAGTTCGATCACTGGTACAAAAAGGTACAGACTTCAGGTCTTCTATGGGGAGATCATGAAATCTGAAGTTGTTCTTTAAAAAACGTTCAGTGAGGGCCCGGGATTTAGTTCAGTGTTTCCGCTGCGTGCCTTGCAAGCACAAGGTCCTGAGTTCAATCTCTGGTACCA